AATGCAGCCCATAAATCATCCAGCTATTTGACATAGAGGAAAGGAAAACAAGCCCTTCTATTCAACGATGATGATTTTATGTTGGAAAAAGACTGCCTTACCAAAGTACCCAAACTGATTTAAAAACAAATCAGATGTCATGTTTAATTTATCATGTGTGATAGAGATTTATTAACAGTCTGATGCAAAAATTTTAAAAATGTAGGTGACTATATTTTTAACCACTTCTGGTTTTCCTAAGATGTATTTCTTTTTCTCTCTTTTGTACTTTTATACATGAAATGTTAAATGCTATCAGTCTTTAGGAGCAGATTAGGAAGCATGTCAGGCTCTTTCTGAGATTACATTTTGGTGTCCTATCTACACAGGTTTGTTTTATAAAAATTACAATTGATATCTGCATAAAAATATAAAAGTATTTTAATGTTTCTTCACATTAAAATGTAACATTTTGAAATAATCTTTGCAGTAATCTTTTCTTAAACGTTCTTTACAAAATTAGCATCACATCGAGCAAAACAATCTTACCTAAAACGTGGTAGCAATTATGCATGCAGTGATAAAACAGACTCAGCATAATAAACCACATCTGGCTTTCTTTAGATTGAGTGTTAGGTTAGAGGCAGGGATAAAATCTCAACATTTTCAAAGAGCTGCATTAATTGAAAATCCCACAAATAGAGTCAGCCAACAATTATGCGTGTCGAGGGTCAAATGGGCCAAAACAAATATAAATAAAACAAATAAATTGTTAAAATTTGTATTCATAGCAAGTAAAGGTTTTAATTGAAACAAATACATAAAAATTATTGTAAAAATTATTGTACACCTTGTATAAAAATATTTACAATTATGTGAATTACTGTGTTTGGCAATAAATGAAATCACCATGCAAGTGGTTACTTATAAACTTAAAAGTTAACTCTGTAGTTATTCTCATAACTGTAATTTATGTAATAAGTTGAAGGCAAACTAATTTAACTTATAAACAGATTTTTCAGCCAGTAAAAGAAGCCTTCAAGCTAGCTTTCAAATTAACAACAGAGAATAAGTAGTTTGAGTCTCTGTGATTTAATAGCGGAAGATTGGAAGTTATGAAAAACAACTATTTGGACAAAGGCACCCAAACAAATCAAGACACACAAACAGAAACAAAGATACAAATCTATAGGGCTGTATAATTATATTGATTCTACTATTTTTTCCCCTCCTCATAAAGGTATCGATTTTTCATCCGCAAGTATCAATACATGAAATCATAGGGGTCCATATGCTTATACATCTTTTTAACATGCCTGGTTTGTGACAATGTAGAAGTAAAAATTTTTCAGTGAATCTGGACTCTGAAGTTCCTTACTTTTAAAAATATTAGTTTGAGGAGAGATTCTTTCCTCTTCTCTCATGGTTTCTTCTTTTCTTTTATTTGTTAAATCATTCAACTTGCTTTAGCAAATGGCGTTGGATGCTTTTATTTGTCTGTGAACCTTCGAACACTTAACACGTGTGCAGGACATTTTACACACACATATGAAAGTGTTTAAAAGGAAACACGCCAACTTTTTAGTGTGTCTGTATCTGAAGGATCTTCACTGCCAGTAAGCATTTCAACTGTAATCAGTCCAATGAATGTAGAGATAGTACGCATGTATTAAAAGTAGAAATAAATGAATAGTTGCATGACAATCATAAGCTTTAAAAGGTCATTGTGAAGTCCTAATCCATCTGTCTCTCTCCCATTCCATCCCATAAACAAAACAGACACCTTGACAAACTCTTCTGCTTAAAAAAGAGATAGACTCTCTGCTCAGAGGAATAAGTCCACTTTTGTCCAGTCAAGGACCATGGACTCAGATTCAAAGGACCTACTTCCTATCCCTCCCAGCTGCTTCAACACTTCACTGCGAATACCTCTGGGTTATACATGATTTTCCTTTTCTTTGAATTCCAAATATAATTTCCAACTTTCATTGTTGTTGTTTAGATGTTTGTTAAATTCTAGTATTCTTTTTGTTTTTGATGATTTGCTTTTCTTTCCACATTTCTAAAAAAGAAAAAAAAAAGGAGTGCAATATGAAAGTGATGAAGTTCCACCCATTATTGTCTCACGATCTTGTTGGCTTGATCATCAAACAGTAAGATAACATCTTATCAGCACTCATTTGGAATCATTATCTGACTTCGGTACTACAAAAGATCAGAACGTAACTCACATACTTCCCAAATTCCACAAGCCCAGATCCATTCCTTACTTGGATAAATAAAAAATAAAAAAAAACTTCCTTGTTCTCTCAATAAACAACAACCACTCAGAATAAATATTGGCATTTTTCCTCAATACATTTTGTTTTGGTTCATTTAAAATGGTTTAACACATAGTAATTATGAATTCAGAAATCTACCTTTTCAAAGAGTTCAGAAACAAGATTACTTCACATCTTACACTCCCTGGAAGGGACTAGAACAAGGAAGTAGAAGAAGTCAAGTTCTACTTCCCCCCTAGTCTGTACAACTCCATTTCCACAGTTCCTCCTCTAAAATTAATAGATGTATCTCTACTCCTCATCACCTCAGATTCAATGTACGTATAAAAAAATTAAAAAAAAAACTTGTATCAAATTCCTTTCATTTCACCATTATATACTGTGGTTAAGCTGTTTAGTTTGCTCATAACTAAAAGTTAAAGATACCCTAAAATGAACATGAGAAAAGACACAATCTGTCAAAATTAAAAGCACTTTGTGTTCACAAACTCCTCTTTGACTCCTCTCATGTGACACAGCTAAGGAGGTCAAAGGTGAGGTCAAAGGGAGCCTTCAAATTAGTCAGTCTACCAACCAACTATGTCCCATAGCATGTGTACCATTTATGGCATCTCACCTCTGACCTGCGGATCCTTTTCTCTGCAGTGTTCCCACAGAGAAACAGGTAGACAGTGTATAAGAAGGTGAACTTTCATCTCAGCAAAAAAAAAAAAAAAAAAACAGGAAAAGATTTTTCCACACACATTTTAAATGCACATTTTTATGTACTTTATTGTGATGTTCTGTGAAATACAAAGAGTAAGCAAGGAAAAATGTATGTTTAAAGAGCACATTGAACTTTATTGTAAAATGTCAGGTTAACCTGGATACTTTAAAGAAGCATAGTGGTTCTTCATTTCAGAACACTGCTTGTCTTTCAAGAGAAGAATGTCCTAAAATGTTTAAAGAGCTGAAGAGCTGAGTGTGAAGAATACGAAGTTGTCTCCAGAAATGTGACCACACTGGTTCGCAGCACTGGAAGCCCAAAGTTGCATGCTTATGAATATAAAAATAAACCTGTGACATTTCCCCGCCTAAGTACACAAAAACAATACACGCATGCTGGTAAGACACACCGTCATCTGCTGATGTAACATGTAGCAATGACGCTGAACTCTGAGTTATGTTTATGTAACAACAGATCAACACCTTCACTTTGAAATGAAATGTGGACTTTTGTATGGAACATAGTTTTTATTTCTGTGCAGTTGTATAAAAACTGTTTCAGCTGGATTTAAATGAGATGGCCAATGTTTGCAAAGTGGCAAGTTAAAAACTCAGTAGCAATGAACCAAACATTCCCATCTACTTCCTTGACACATTTTGCTTTGACATTGGTAACTTCAGGATTTTCAGATTTCGAAGGACCGCCTTTCATTTAAGCTATGAGGAAGACAGCTAATTATTATTTTTTTTTTTTCACAAAATGCATATATAGAATACCAAAGTTAAAATGTGAATTTTAAAAATAAAATATTCAACAAAATCTGGAAGATTTAAGACTTGACAAAACTCTTCCACCAATGGAGAGCTGGAATTCCCATCCATTACTCATATTCTTCTTTGCACATTTCTGTTATAACTCACCTCTATACTAGGTTTTGTTTGACTGCTGTCACGCTTCCTTTACCTCACTGTCAGCCGCACTTACAATCTCTATTATTCATCACCTTCACTTCCAGGCTATTTTTACCTGCTTTTGCAGTCGGCCCATCTTTTTCCTTCACTGGCTGTACCAGTCAACACACACACACACGTTTTCCCTTAGTTTTGACCTGGTTTTAAATCCCTGACTAAGGACTCCATCACTGCAGGTACGCCACACTAATACAATTCTTTATTCAGTGACAAGCATTATGTTCCACTAAAAGCAACATTTTGTAACCATTATCGAAAGTTTCCATTCTTTAAGATTAGAAGTGCTGTGGATATTTTGTTTATGAACTGATCTAGGTACTGTTTAAATTTAAAAATAGGATATATTGTATATCCATATAATATGGTTTTGGTGCCCCCAGTTTTTCTTCTGAAAAACCTAAAACTTATCACAGAGCTATATCAATTTAGTACAAGCAGCCTCCATTCATGCATAAAATAAGAAGCATTCAGCAATGATGATTTCAGATGTCATCCACCAGCTATCTGAAAAAAAAGTGATGGGTATAGTTTGCATGCCTTCTATCATATTTGGTCAAAATGGGACTCAGCTGCTCAATTTACAGGATGAATTTTAAAAATAAATCTGAACTTTCGAACTTTACAATGCGTCACAAAAAGGCACCATGGCCTAAGATTGGCATGAAATCAAATGTGCGACTGATATTTTTTTAGTATAACAAGTTGGTCTGTCACAATATAATGCTACAAAACAAAACAAAACAAAAAAAAAAAAACATCTGCTAGCAAATGCTCTGCTGGGATGTAATTTTAATCCATTTATTTAATCACAAATAATTAAGGAAATCAAAAGACTATGTACTCAATGGATATTGAATATCAGATTAGTGATGCCTGTTGTTTCAATTCGGTTCAACAACGCCCTCTAGAGGACAATCAAGTTTAACACATGGGGGTTGCTAAATTGTCAGAATCTCACTAAGGACCTCAGGGGAAAGAAAACAATGAATGAAACAAGTTGTACGTGACAGAATTAACTCAATCATGAAGTCTGAATACTGAAAAACATGACGATTGCAAACATGAATCTGAAGAAATATTTATTTTTCAATAGTATACATTTATAAATGACTTGTGCGTTATCAATTCTTCTGGGCCAAAGCTATTTGGCAGACAGACCCCATTCAGACAACTTCCAATAGGAACAGATAGGGCAGAGTGGCTAAACTATCAAACAAATCAAAAGCCCACACAGTTCTGAAAAGAACAAGGTTACGTCTAGAAGCTATCTTGGTCTCATTAAGTGTCTTGGGGAAATTTTCAGTGCTTCATTTTGAGAACTCGGTTTACTGGGCGATACCAATAACTCCACAGGCCAGGCGCCCGCCAGCGTTACCCGTCTTAAGGCTTTCTTCATTTCCTCCTTTTCCAAGATCATCAGCCTTCTCATGGATCTAACAGAATAAGCAGATTTACAGAGTCTGTGACTTAAGGAAAAAAATAAAAATCTAGGCATCAATGTGAAAAATAGATGAAAATGACTTACCACCATAGTTCTGCCAATAATGGAGTTGGGCCCTGAGAGCTTGATAAAGTGTCTTTGATGTCAATCTTGGCTATATTGTCGGCTCCAGCAGTCACATTCCCCAAGTCTCCAACGTGTCTAATTGGAGAAATGTAAAACTCCAGTTCTCAGCCCTGTGTAATCGCTCTCAAATTCATTTAAGGTATGTTAGAAACACATAAATAAGCAAAAGTATTCTAGTACAACCTTATAGCCATTGTGAAAAAATTGTGGCATAAAGCATTAATTCTTTGCGTACGTGTGTATTTTTATACAATTGTTAATCACATAACTGCATCATTACTTAAAGTCTCAGTTTCATGTAGGTTGGAAAAGCAGCAGGCAGCAACTGTTTGTTCTCACTGTTCAATAGATCAATGACCTGATCAACTTAAATTAGATTGATATCCAATTAACAAAAATAAGTGGTCTACTTTTTCCCTCCTGTTTAGCATGTATAGAAATGTTCAATATCTATTCCATTACCAGGCAGGCACATTTCACTGAACATGTCTCTGCTCATTTCCCCTTGATTAACTTACCGTTCTACATCAGTAGGACCACCATGGTTCTTTGAAAAGGGATTGTAGTGTGGTCCTGCACTGATGCACCCTGGAAATGAGAAAACACAATAGTCAATCCTTTAGATCACCAGTAGAAAGCACAAATACACATTTAAGCAGAACTTAATTTAAAAAATAAAAACACCCACTAACCATTTGTGTTATCTCCAAAAGCATGGACATGGAAACCATGGTCACCAGGTGTGAGGCCACTGATCTCTCCAGTAACCTTCACAGGAGTCGACTCATTCTGGGGATTAAACAGCAACAAAGTGCACCAAAGAGCTGTCAGAGGCAGGCAGCAACGACTAATTACCCACAAAGCAAAATTAACTGACATGTGTTTTCAAGAGGTTGAAACACATGGTTTTCCAGCATCTATATCCACAGATCACACTTCAGTTTATTTATATAGTACAATGCCTCATTGCACTTCAAGACAATTTAAGACACAGAAATACAGTGAAGACAAATCTTAAAAGATTACAAATGTTCTGCAACCTACTCTATGGAAATAGTATGCATTTAACTCGAATATTAATAAGAAATTCCTCAAAGATATTTTGATTTTATTAGATGTTTTCATGAGCGTGAGCTGATCCAATGGGTCCAACATGCTTAAGTAGGTAAAAGTTCAAATTTGGATCAGAACCTCAATAAAAAGACTTGCATTCAAGTGGCATTGAAGTTAACAGATTACAACAAGATCCTGTCAGCAACGCCTCCAGTCAAATAATCACAAGACAGTCAAGTTTATAGTTCAATAGAGGTACAGTGGGTCAAGGAGTATAAGTACTATACCCAGATAATATTAAGAAAACTACAAGTAAAAATGTGGAGCAGTGTCATGCAAAGCATCGCTGCACATGCGTAAAATACTCGATGCCATTGCGCATCCAAAACTTAATCATATTTATGAGAAACTACTACATAACTGGAGAGCAACGCTCGGGGGACAAAACGCGGGTACGAAGTGGAGACTCGATCCATGACGGAGTGAGGGAATGACTCGGCAGAAAATCAAATGGGACACTTTCACATCACCCAGCTGCGAGGCCCGCGCAGCAGCTTTTCAGCGAGGTTACGTAAAAATCAACGCATATTAGTTAGCCACCGTTACGAATGCCTTCTGCGTGATTAAGAAACCACCGCGAGCAGTGAGCGAGTCTGCCCTGTCCAACTTGCGCAACAGGTTAATAATTACCACTCCCAGCCCGAAAATGTTCCAAGGTTATGGTCCGAGAGGAAAGCCTTTGATTTCAGCCACGTTGGCTGGAGAATTAAGCGTCGCTATGAAACAACAGAGTGTAAAATAACATACCGACATGTGCACTTTGCGTTTGTTTTGCAGAACACACTCGAAAGCTAATTTGCATCGAGTAAGTGTTGGACAACTTTGCGAATCTGCGACAAACATGCCTAGATCTTTGATTTAAAACTCAAGCCAAGCATGGGACTCGGTGGGAGACAACAAACAGGACGTGTCTGCTTGAAAACCTAAGCATTAGCTAACCTGTGAATGAACGTTAGCTTCCTTAGCATTACAAAGCTAAAGCCCCCGACAGAAAAAAACAATTTTAACTTTCTTTTTTGTTTTTCCTTTTAAGCTTACACATTTCTAATTATTACATCTTGTCTCACATTTACCTCCTGCTCAAAGTGAACCGTCCCAGTGGTCTCTCCAGCTCCTTTTAGGACACACACGGCTTTGAGCACCATCTTTACAGCAATCAGGCCTCACCAGACTTACTATCACAAGGAGCAGGAAACCAACCGAATAAACGCTGCGTCAATGAACGCAATGGGCGGGTTTATATTGCACACAACCAATAGACGAAGAAGGGATATTTTGATTGGTCGCAATCTTGTTTCAAAAAAAGTCTACAGTAGCCAGACTGATATATATTTTTGCCTATGTTGGTACCACTGTGACACAGATATGAACAAAAAATATACACTTTTCATACTTGACAACTCCAAACTTAGAAACATTGCAAAATCTACCTTTTTCAAAGCTTTACCTCATGTTATGTCATTCCCTCAAAACATTCTTGGACTTGTTTTGATTCTTTCATGCATGTTTTAGGAATGGTCTCGGTCTCACCAAACGATGGCTTTTCTATGCAGCTCCTGCAGACTCCAAACCGAATTTCAGCCTTATGGAGCTCCCTTCCCCCGAAACTCACCCACTCAGACTAGCGCCAGCAGCAATTACCAAAAACATGGTAGAAACTCCAATCATTTCAAGGCATTAAATTGTTGTTAGAGGCTTTCTCTACAAGCCTGGTCCGAAAAACCCACTTCCTTGCTTAGTTATAAGGACCCCTGCACAAATGATTCAAATCATTCGACTGTTTAGTTCTCATGCCATCAACTATTGCAGATACCTGCAAAAGTTAATGTTAATGAGCCATTCATTTGAAGTCAGGTGTGCTACATGGAGACATTTAAAACATGCAGATGAGTGGGCCCACAGGGAACCACTGAACCACAGCACAGTCAAAATGTAAAAGAATGTGCTCTGCTCATCTGTGAAATCAGTAAGAGTTGATAGAGATGTTTGGGGGCTAAATCCTGAAAGGGAAAAAACATGGATAGTGCAAATATCCTAAGACAGAGCAGAGGTTCACTTTTGAACAAAATGAACCTAAATGGATTAGAATGGTTTAGGTTGAAGCATGTTTATGTATTACAATGAAGCAGTCAAAAGATAAAATACATGGAAGTTATTAATACTTTCACAAGGTGTAGTGCATGTATAAATTGTCAAAAAGAAACTTAAAATAACCCTCTAATAGTTCATTATATCATGCGAGATAGAGCAATTTAAATAACCCTACAGGGGAAACATTTTAAACATTCTCAAATAGTGAAATATATAAATTTGATCAAATTATTAAAAGAATCTGAAAAAAAAATCAGAGGAGCTGAACAGCCAATTAACCTTTTATGATAAGACCTCACTTTTAATAAAGGATCATGTTATTCTTTTTAACCATGAAGCTTAGTCCAAAAACTTGCACAGGCAGGTTACATATTTCACACTTGAGCATTTATCTCACAAAGCTGAACAAAAACAAATATATCATCAAGAGTTAGGCACAGGTTAAAAGAAGCAAAAAACATTTGGTACAAAAATAGTTTATTAAAAACAAGTTCCTATGGCTGAAATGTTGACGATTTCATGTCCATGTCTTTCATATTGAAAAGAAACCATAGAAACATCTGTCATTTTCCAAACCACTAGGAGTTAAAAACATTAAAGCAACCTGTATCTGTCGTTCTTTTTGTGTCAATGTGTTTCAGATACGCAAATCACAGAATATTAACAACTATTACCATTAAACCTTAAAGTCATCAGTGACAAAAGCATATTTACAGCAGCGGCCTTCATTTTTCAGCATTTCTGCTTTACACAACGCAGTGTAAAATGATCAGATTGCTGATTCTGGGCTTCAAAATAAAAGAAATCTGTGATGTTATATGATGTGTTTTCAATTGGGAAACTGGGTTCAGTTTTTTGAATAATATAGTTTTTAATTTGACAAACTGTGCTGAAAGAGGACAAATCTGACAATCACCACTTGCTCAACAGTGAAAATCATAGAGCTTATAAAAAAGAAATAAAAGTAAAGCAGGCAAGAGAAAGGTGAGGTAATTCAACAATTTTCTTTAGTCTTCTTTTAACATGGATAGAAAACACATTTCTTTTAAATTTCTCACAAATCCAAATTTCCTCTTTTTTTTCACAGATTTAAACCAAACCTGTTTTTAGCCAATTGTTTTAACAATTATAAAAATTTAAAATAACAGCTAAAAATTTGAGAAATTAGGGAGGGGATAGAATTAGGCATCTTTATGTATTTTTATGAAATTTAACTTGCAAACATTTAATATTTGTATCAAAATTTTGTCTTTTTGACAAATCAAACTTTTTTTTTTTGATGTCCTTCAATAGCTGTGTTCATAGTTGCAGCTCTGGAAACTATTTTTGATGGAAATATCCTAGCTGAATAATGGCCATTGTTCATTTATGTAGCATTAAATTATATTCTTGAATATGTGAAAAAGTTTTGAAATACTACATGTCTATTTCTTTGATTAGTCATATATTTTTCTTGTTTTTGCCTTAAAAGTAAACACTCTTGTGGTAATGTCGTCAAATGTTTCCTTAGAAATAAAATCCTTTGAGCTAGTTAATTCTTAAAATCATTAGATTCTGTCTTTTGGTGGTGATAATGTTATAAGCAGCGATAAGGAGAATAGATTGACACCACCATTACAGTACATTTCAATAGTTTTCAGTGTTGCAGATTTTAAAAGTGACTCCATAACAGAACTAATTTGTTGTTGAGAAGCTCCTTCCTCCAGGTGATGACATGAAAGTATGAATAAAATTGGGACAACAATAATTTCCCCCATCTGTATACAAACTACGATAATAAAAAAACAAGTATCTAACTATTGATCAAAATGAAACCAAAATGCCAGGCCACATTATACGCATAACGTGATGTTTCAACAGATCTGGTTTCATTTGCTTGACAACGTGGTGGGAGATGTGCTACCGCCCAGGAACTGTCAATGATCATCTGACGAACAGTCACTAGTTAGAACTGAGACTATTACAGTGAACAAAACTTTTTTCGGAGTTTCTCTCATTCACAGCAATCACAGGTTGAAGGTCTATGATGCTGCTGCATGCTTTTCTTCTTTTGTTGCTGTGGACTCATTTTGAGCCGGCTCTTTAGACTCTGAGGATTGGACATTTTCACCAGCTGGAATCGGCCCAGCAAGTAAATGTTCTGACTCTTCCTTCTTTTTAGTGGCTTCCCCATTTGGCTCTTTCCTAGTTTCCACCGTAAACAGAGGAGTCCCACCAGGTTGTTCCGTGCTGTTAGCGCTTCGGAATTTGTCCATGTTTTCCAGTTCAGCCAGTCGATCGTCTTTATCCCACCGCGACGTCCTCTCTCGTCGTTCTGACCGTCTCGGTTTGTCTGCTTTAACTTCAGCCGCTCTGGTTTTGTCCCGGCTGCCTCCTTCTCCTCTACTTCTTTCTCCGCTCTCCGCTTTGCCTCGGTCCCTCTCCCCATCGTCATTCCGGCCTCGATCTCTGTCTCTATCAAGGCTGCCTCGCCTCTCTCTCCAGTCCCTTCTATCTCTGTCCCGATCTCGGTCTCTGTCTCTCTCCCATCCGCCCCCACGAGAATTCCCTACATCTTCCTGCCAACCTCCGAGCCTGTCCCGCCCATCCATTTTGTCATTACCCCCTCCTCTACCTCCATCACCAAAACGCCTTCCCCCTCCAAACCCTCTGTCCCTCTCTCTGTCTCTGTCTCGATCCCAGTCTCTGTCCCTCTCCTGTTCTCGATCCCTGAATCCTGGCCTGTCACTCCTGAGCGGTCTGTCATCCATTTCCTCCTGCTCTTCGAAGCTTCTAGGACCACCCGGTCTTGTAAACAGGGCAGGACCTTGAGGGGGCGGGCCATGTCCTCGAGGGAAGGGACCTCTCATGTTATGTGGAGGGGGCATCCCAAATCCTCCTTTAGGTTGTGGCGGCTCGTGGCGCATCATTTGAGGATGTGGACCCCTGGGTATCAACTGTGGCGGGCCAGGCGGCACGTTGGGGTGAGGTGGTCTTTGCCCTTGTGGTGGAGGGAAACGTTGCATGTGTGATGGTGGTGGACCCTGAGGGCGCTGGAGTGGCATCATACCAGGTCGGGCACCTAGTAGACCCCCAAGAGGGGACTGGATGTTTCCAGGGTGTCCACCTGGACCTGGAGGTCCAATTGGGGGACCGCCGGGATGTCCGGCAGGGGGACCACCGGGATGTCCGGCCGGGGGACCGCCGGGATGTCCGGCAGGGGGACCTCCGGGATGTCCGGCCGGGGGACCGCCGGGATGTCCGACCGGAGGACCGCCGGGATGTCCGACCGGAGGACCGCCGGGATGTCCGACAAGACCAACGGGGTGACCAACAGTAGAATTAGGTCCACCTGGAAAACCTCCAGGAGGTCCTGTTAGAAAACCACAAGCAGTTAAAGATTGCTAAGTTTAAGTTATTAAATAGTTCAAACCCCATTATTTTGTTTCTTTAGTAAACCGAAGGGAAACAAAATTACTAACCCATGTGTCCCATTTGGTGGTTAAATAAATTTGGACCCTCCAGGACCTCATCATTTTTCTTGGCGCCCTGACCTGCTGGGTCTTGAGGGGGGTCATCAACTCCACCTTTGGAAGGAAGTAGTGGACCGAGGGCCATAGGTCCCGAGGCAGGAAAACCTGGGGATATAGTAGTGAAACCCATTAAGATTCACTCTGACCAGAGTGTAAGACATGCATCCTAGTTCTTAAAACAATTGTAAAGAGTAAAAGCTACCTGGGGGCATTTGCAACGGGTTAAAGCCAGGTCTAATGAAAGGAGGAAGGGGAATGCCTGGAGCAAAGCCAGGTGGAGGCATCCCAATGGGACCAGGAAAGACCGGAGGTTGAAGGGAACCCATAGCAATCATTGGCTGCTGCAATGAAGGGACCTGTGAAAAGAATAAGCAGATAATTCGCCCAATGTCATGTACACTTTAGGTAACAATAAGCAAAATAAAACCCATTTTGTGAAGGACTATAGTAACTGACTGACATATGAGTCTCTTACTACCATTAAACCATAAATTATAAAAACATTTAAAATATAAAAAAAATAATAATTTCAACTATAACTGTAACCAGTTATAATATAACCCGGGAGGTTCCAACACCCAATGCACTTCCCATCTGCCTGGGCATAGCTACTGATCTGCACGTGTCGACCAAGATGGCAATTTTTCAGCACGGTTTTCTGTCCCGAAATGTTTCAAATGCAGGACAGTCCTGAAAATAATGTGCCTTCTAGATTTGGAGTTATAATCTGAAACACATATTTCTTACCATAGCACCACCTACAGGTGAATGTGGCTCAATATTTATATCCAAGTGGCGGTGTGGATTATGAACACGGATACTAAATAAAAGTCGTAAAAAGTTTTGGAGGGTAGGCTGCAGTACAAGTTTCAGCAGAGAAACATAAGAAGAATGGAATAGCATTCCACATCGTGGACGCTGTCAAATGAAAAACGTTGTGTGATGCGTCGTGGGAGAACTCAAAAAACAAACATTGCTCAAATGAAACATTTCTCAAGATTTTTTAAATGAGCCCCCCCGACCCCTCATTGCAACCAACCATAAAACAAGTTGAAAAAAACTAGCTAGCCATTGTCAATATTGTGTTTGTACTTGAAGGAAATTGTGGATTTTTTTTTTTTTATCATTTCAAAATTATGAACAATGTAATTTTGTAGTGACGTGTATAGTGATGTTTAATCAGCTATCATAATTGGGCAAAATAAAAAATTGCCACAATAACTTTCTTTTTGTTTATTCCTTAGTATATATTGTAATAAGTTTCAATTTTGTTGATGGTAGAGTTGGCAAATGCAATTTTCTTGCTTCCCTTGTGAAAAATATTCCAGAGCCACAATTTTTGCACAGTAGAACATGTTGGAGAATCTTTCTAAGAAACTTTGCCCACATCAATTTTGTTAACGAGACTTCTGGTTTTGGAGTTATAAACTGAAAGATGGATTTACTACCACAGTGCCATCTACAGGTGAATGTGGCTGAATATTTGTATTTGAGAACGTTGTGGATACTGAACCAGGATACCAAATAAAAGTTGAAGTAAGTTTCAGGGAGTAGGGTCCAGTATGACTTTCAGTGGAAAAACATAATAAGAAGAATGGAAAAACAGTAAAAACAATAGGGTTTCCTGCTGTGAGCAGGCAAACAGCCATGCCTTGCTTGCAAACTGCCTGCTTGCTCCTATTTAGGCTTGAAACCATAAATATTCTATGTGTTCTTTACTTGTACAGGATGAGAAGCTGCAACAGTCATCGGTAACACTTGTATCTCCTCAGGCTGCTGTTGCTCAGAACGGCCATTGTGTGTGGGTTCCTCAAGGTGGTCGAAGGTCTTTCTCATGCTGCTCCAGTCTGCAAAGTCAGTCATGATAGCAATAAATAAACTAAGTAATAAAGCTGAAAAAATTTAGCAGATGGTAATGGTGAATTTAGTTTTTTTAATAAAATTAACCGTGTAGTTTCAAAATGTATATATTGAGGAGAAAATGTGTTCAGTCATTTCAAACAAACATTTCTCCTGCATTAGTTGTTTTTTTTAACCTGGTGATAAGGTATCCATATCCAGCATTCCTCCCTCCTTCAGCTCCTCCAACTGGTCCTCTCTGACTTTAGACCAGGGTACGTAGGTGACACCCAGCTCCACATCCCAGTACTGTTTAAAATCAGGCTTTATACCCTTGTTCAGAGCCCAAGCAATCTGGTAGGAAATAATTCGATTTAAATTCAGATTTGTTTCCAGAATTTTTTCTCAGTGGCATATCCACAGACAAAATAAATAAGACCCACCTTAATTGCTTTCTGGTTAACTTTTGACGATCCTCTGCTGAGTTTCTGCAGTGCTCTGTAAGCGTCTTGCCTGTGTATCATGACAATGTAAGCACAACCTCTTGGAGGAATCATCTGAAAAACAACAGAGAAAAACAAAAAAATGGTAAATAATTATATAAGAAACAAGTTTTCCTGTCTGACAAACCAATTAACTGAGCAAGGACTGTTTAACAACGACTAAGGAACAATATTTCTTAAAGATAACAGCATAGAGGTAAGGTACCTAATAATGCAAACATCAACTCTAAGCACTACAGTCACAAGCATGTCATAATCAACATCTAAGAAACTAAGTTAAAAACATTGGAATTATAAAACGCACAAATTACTGTTTTAAGATTAAATATATCTGATTCAAACAAATCGACTTACATTTATAGATTCAATCTGTCCAAACTCTTCAAGCAACGAGGCGACGTCTTGCTGTTGAGTTCTCTTGTCCAGCTGACCCACCCACAGTGTAGTACTACAAACTAAAGAGGAAAAATTCATCAACAAGGAACAAATTTCGCAATATTTCAAAAGTTAAAAGATTTAAACAAATTATTTTCATCGTAGGAGGGAAAAATGAAATAAGTACAAATTTCAATCATTCCTGTGATAAATAATTTCCTAGGTAACCTAGGTGACGACTCACTGCTCAGAGTCTCGCTCTTGGGCGGTGGAAGGCCTTTCTGCCGCCGCTCTCTTTCTCTTCTCTCTCCCGGCGCTCCTGTGAGCGAGAGCGAGGTGAGTGGTGGCGCGATCTCTGGAGCGGGATCGCCTGTGCCTGGACCATCGGGAGCGGGCGGGAACTGGATCTAGACCTTCTTCTCTTTGGAGATCTGTGTAGGCAAAAGAAGCTTTATTATCAGGAAACTTCTCTTTGGCAGATTGTCATAAAACTTCTTAGCATCCATTTTATACTTTACCTTGAGCCTGAGTGGGACCGCCGACCATGCCGGCCATCTCTCATTGATGAATGGTCCATATCCACTGAGGAGTCCTGATGAAAAGATGAAAAAAACTGATGAATCAGAAGGTGACTTATTGCAAATATAACCAAACCAGTTATATTCTTGATCAATATTTAAGGTTTATTAATTTATCTTAGAAGTCAAGAAATAAGATAAATCTGAAACTAAACTAAAACTAAAAGTTGTTCAAATCTATTTAAAAAGAAAACAATGATTTTGAAGAACATCACTTCAGGCTGTAAGAGAGCAGGTACCAAAAAGGCTGTAACTTTGATTTTCTGGCTTTTAAAGTTCACACTTAAAAATAGGAAATTTTGGCAGCCATTTGTAAACCTTTGAATCTAATCTACAGAGAGAGTACACACAGAGAGTACACAGCCGTTACATGTTAATTGCTAAAATAAGATTCTGAAGACTGTTTCTAATCTCTGTAATGATTTATTTAAATCAAAGGAAAAAGCGTTTCACTGCAACTGGATGGCTCTACCTCTGCTCATGCTATAACTAATGACCTCTGATGGCTGGAAACCTACCTGTTGTTGCTGGGCAGCGTTTTGAGGAGGGTATATCCCTGGGAAGCCTGGAAGCCCAGTTGAACCTGGAATGTGGTGCCCTGGAAGAGAGTGCCCCATCGGTGGCATGGTAACAGGGTAGCCTTGTCCTGGCAGAACGACACCAGCCTGTAGCTGGCCGTTCGGAGGCACGGAAACCTATAGAAGAAATCTGTAATTAATATCCAGTACCAATCATTGCGTCTTATATCAGAAGACAAATTAGATTTGTTCAGATTTTATTCAGTTTTGTCTTCTTAAAGGTTTCTGTTAAATTTATGAGTTGTAACATCATGTCATATTAAACAAATATATAAAATATTCCTGACTGACAAAACTTGACTATTTAAATAAATTCTCAAGATACTTTTTGAGTCTTTAACTTAAACAAAAGTTAAAATCAGTCAGACCTATTGTACAGTAATTTCTTTTAGTACATCAAAACATTTAAGCCACTTGTTTGATAAAGAATACAATTCTTTTCCATCTCCCTTAACTGATGTTCACACTCTAAAACATCTGGTGTAAAACTAAAATAAAAATGAACAATGAAAGTTCAATGTTACTACCTGCTGTGTGATGTCTTGTGAGATATTCATCATCTGTGTATTAAAGTGCTCCATGTGCTGAGGAAAGGCTGGAGGTTGTTGCATACTGTGATAAGAAAAATGTGTCATTATTACTCCTCCTTGATGTTATTTGTGGAGGCTATTCTACTCAGAATGAGGGTGGGGACTCACAAAGGGGGCTGTGAGGAGGCTTCATCCTTTTTAGTTTCATCTCCAACTTCTGGTTCATCATCATAATCAAAACGGTCAAGCAACTTCTGAAGGGAAGGCAGATGAAACTGTAAATTCTAAATTCGATTCTTTTTTGTTTGGTTTTACAAAAAAATTACAAATTTCCAAACACTGAACTTTTTGTAAGCATGGCTTTCAAAAGATTAGAAAAAAGAAATATGAAAAGTGTGCATTCAGAATGTTGTTGGTTTGTTCATTTGTGAAAAAATTTAAAGCCATGCATCCTCCACTAATTTGTGACTATCAATAACATAAAAGCCCCAGCAAATTACATTCAAGTTAGCGGAAAACTGAAAAAGTTCAAGGCGTACAAATACTTTGCAAGGCAGTACAGGTGAGAAAACTTGAAGAAAGGAATGCAAATATCCGTCACCATGTCAAAAGTTGTCTTTTGCTGGACCGGTTGGGTGGAGTTGACGGGAGGAGGTTGAGGCGAGGAGAGGTGAGGCTGAGCAGCAACCGCAGCCAGGCCAGTAGGCACGCTTTGAACCGGCATTTGAGCGGTCGGCAGAAGAGGCTGAGTGTTGGTTTCAGGCTTAACCGCCTGCTGCTGAAAGTTCTGGAGCATCTGCTGGAGCTAAGAAATATAAAGTAGATTCAGAAGTTTCCATGATGAAAACAGAAAGCAAATGAATGAAGCGATGTCAGGTTTCCATAGGTGTAAACACACCTGCTGACCCTGCGAAGACTGGAAGAGCTGTGCTACAGCAGCAAAGGCGTCAGAGTTGTGTAGTGGAGGAGCGGCTGTTGGGGTGGAGTTGGCTAATACTCCGGTCACAGGCTCTTTGGCTGGAGACGGCGGTGAACCTAAATGATGAGACAATGGCACAAACATGTTTTTAAAGGTGAGAATGCTCATTCAGAAAAATACTTTATAGATAAAACTGTTTCTATAATGTGGGATTTAAAAAGGACTCAAATTATAACTCACCCGGCTCTTCTGTGTGTGTGATGGAAGCAGCACCACTGCCAGAACCTGCAGCCATATCCAAGAGTGGCTGAATAACCTCGATCTTAAACACTCCGTTCTTCTGCCACAGGTTCAAAACCCGCACAATCTTACTCTACAAACAAAAAAAAAGAAAAGAAATGAAGCATCATATCAGAAATTTTCCAGCCTTTCAGAAGATTTTTTCCACTCTTACCCGGTCCTCTATGGGACAGAGACAAAGGTTCTCGAAGGTTCCTGTGATATTTTTGGTGAACCTTGGACCAAACACGTCTTTGTCTGGTCCAAACTGGTGCCTGGACTGCCTCACAATGGAATCAACCACATACAAGCCAGCAACTTTATACTCTGGCTTACACTGAAGGAATCAAGATCAAGGAGACAAATACCTTTAAATTACTGATGATTGTTGAGAAAAAGAAATGCTTTTCAAATCAGTTTGAAACAAAACCAGGCTCACCTTTTTGATAAACTTTTCCACAATCTGGACCACATGTTTGTAGAGCTGAAAAAAAGGGAACAAATGAGTGTTTTCAGCTTTATGCAGCCAAAAGGAAATGCAAACCTATTTTTAAAATCAGAAACATGACCACGAAAAAATACAGCACATTAAGAACTATTACTTACTTTCATAGCTTTTATGGCTGATTTGGTAATGGAGATCATCTTTGCTCGAGATATAGGAGGGTTGGAGTCCATCAAGGAGAATAACTGCAGAGTGGAAAAGGTAATGAAAAGATGACATGGGAAACCATAAAACAGTAGAATGGATAATACAAAATGGAGCAAAAATAAAAGAATTTCAGGTCACATGCTTGTTTTATTGAAGTACATCCGTTTTTCACATGACGCACTAAAATAAGGATGTATTGCATGTATTACTTTACAGGGAAATGTGGTGAACCTAAATGTAATTAAACTTTCTAAAATAGAAATTTGTTTCCTCAAAAATCTCTTTATCTGTTGTCATTATTGATTAGTACGCACATTTTTTTATATCTCGTGTGGCGATTTTTGTCAGTTTTTGTTGGTAAACGGAGACTAATATGTTTACGTTTTATTACGCACTGCTTGAAATTTTCAAAATGAAACAGAAAAAATATTCTGAATTTAATGTATTCTTAAACATGGCTCTCAAATAAAAGACATAACAATTCTGAGCTACCTGGGCCTGAAACCATCTGATCAGTTTAGTGGTTGAGATTTGTACTGACACGGTAATAACACAGTTAGCCAAAAGCCTGAACGAGTTTCTGCTATTCAATATCAATGAATAAAATATCTAGGACCAATCATATATCCTCAATAATAATAATAAATAAAACAGCAACAGCTTACTGGGAACCATCAGTGGTGTTACTTTAGATTTCACACCAAAACCGTCCATGTTTCTCACAACCAGTTTCCAAACACTTAAATTTCTCTGTTTTGTAAGTAAAGGAAATATGTAGAAGTTTTCCTTAGGCCTTGCTATGTGCAATATGTGGGGGAGGGGCAGTGCTGCATTATTCTGCACTTCAGGTAGCCTGAGAAAACTGAGATGACACAAACCTTTTCTGCAGCAACTCATTAAAAGGACTTTGAACCTCTAGAATGTCACCACTGAATAGTTCGGGGATTTAGAAACTGTAACATTTTAAAATCTCAACATATCTTTAAACTGTCCCTATGCGCAGTCTGCAACATAAACATCCAATACATAATGTCTTGTCTCACCATATTCATCTTTTTCTACTAACTTGATTCACCTTTGAAGAGATAAAATCCAAAGCAGAAAAGGAACTCTAAAACTGGCCACTGTAAACTGAACTGGCTAACCAGGGTTAATTCTGTTTTTAAAAAGTTTTGGTTACTGATTAGAGTTTAACGAAGCTGTAGAGAGACAAATAAACTCACTTGTTGCTGAGCACTGACGGTCAGCTGGCTGAAAGAAGGCACCAATACTTTTTTCTTGTGTTCAAGAAAGATTAACTTGTCTTTTTGGAAATACAGTCAAGAGATTAAAAATAATAATAACAATAATAATAAATACATTTTTAAAAAGTACTTGTGTTGAAACTTAGGAAGAGCCAACCAGTCTAAATGTCTATCAAAGTAGAAGAGTAAATAAATGTTATTATGTATAGAAAATTACTACAACCGTGATTTTGTTATTATTTTATGTAGATTTTTCTGGTTTAAATAATCATAATTAAACAGTGTAAGTACCACTGTTTTGTACTACAAAACAGTGGTACTTCTACTCATTTCTGTGATACAGTGTGAATCTCAAAGTAACTGTAGAAAAGCATAACTGTATTAAAATCCTGATTTTAGAAGAATATCATGATTGATTTATTTTTCATAATGAATGCCTCTAAAAGAACAGATATTCTCAGACATCATCTGAAAGCAAAATAGCTACTTATCTAACGTAGAAGGAGATGCATAAAATCTGACACACAAACCCACACTTTCAGCATCACATGACAAAATAAAGTCTATGATTTGCCCTTTTAACCATGCCCTAGTATTCTTGCAGCTGTATTTTTGCTTCCAGTGAGACAGCGAATACTGCAAAGATTGTAAAGATCGCAGGAATGGCAGCAATTTCGACGCTAAATATCTTGCAGGATGTCAATTTGAGCCTGAATAACTGATTAAGCATATGGGCACCAGCTTTGAAAACCGCGTAAATGTAAATGTAATGACAGAGACTGCAGGTTCTGACTGGGCTTCCAACAGCATGAACAGGCCTCATAGAAACTTACCGTGTCTGCTCTTTAAGAAACATTTTGCATGTTTATTACTCCAAATTAGCAACAATAAGCCCTTGTAGGCCTGCAGTCCGTTTGTATCACTGTGTTAACTGGAGAGTGTGTTTGTTAATCGTACTGTTACGAGCAGCAGTGTTTGGGACCAATTCACTCCCATTAGCAACACGGAGGATCCTTGTACCAGTGTTTACTCTGTTTTCCGATATTGCCGAGTGGCTTCTTATTACACTAGAGTAAACCATCCTACTATTCAATGTAACACCACCCCAGTTGACGAAGCGCAACATTAACATTAACCCAATCACAATAACACCAAGAAAGTCCAACGGCTAGCAGGCCCCCTACTCCGACCTGCTCGGTTAGCTCTACAGCATCACAGCACTGCTGTGACCACATCCACCAGCCACGGTGACTTCAGATTCTGAGCAAGCCCAACGTGCAGCTTACCTCCTGGTTAAAGGCGTTCACGGCCTCCATGATTGCCAGATGCACCTGGCTTCTCCCGTAACTCCCGAAATCCTGGTCAAAACGATGTTTATTCTAGGAAAGGACGGAACAACATGTCCGCTCCCCGGTAGCTAACGCCAGTTAGCCTCGCGTTGGGTCGGCGGGCACAGCAAAGCATGATGGGATTCAGTGCTGTTGTTCTTGGGTTTGTCCACTAGGTGGCAGGGTGCTTCTACTTAATGTGCTGCCTGAAAAAAGAAGATTAATCATTTTAATAGTTTCATTGTAAGTTAACTTAGCAAGTCTTTATTTGTCAAAAATGGTAGGGGTCAAAGTATGCATTTGCTTAAAAAATGTAAACAATATAGTGTCTCCAGCTGAGAACTGAAGACCTTCTTTGTGAAAATAGGTTCAAGAAAACTGCACATTTTAGGAACCAAAAAAACAAAAATTCCTTGATAGGAATAAAAATGCTACTATATACTATGTAGCATTGAAAAAGCCTAACTTATTACACTTATTAAACTTATTACATGGTAGTTCTTCAAAGAAAAGATGTGCAGTGAAAGAAAAAAACAGCAAGAAAAAAATAGAACAGAAGAAAGGCAGTATACCAAGAATGACACAAGTAAAGGTTATAGTTGTCCATCTAAACTTGGCAGGCTAAGCAAGAAAAGTAATAATCTAAGAAACAGTCAGTAATTGTCAGATAAACACTCATTAATAATATGGGATAGATTCAGAACTCAAGTAGGAAAATCTGCTTGATAACTTTTAGTGGAGTGTTTAAGAGAACCAACCTCTATTTGAGAGTGGATGAAAAAAAGTCACTACTGTAGTCTCCAATTTTGGAATGGCAGATTACACTAGATTGTATTTTAGAGTGAGTAAAGGCACTGAATTAATTTTTTTGCAACCTTTATTATTTCTAAAAATTACTTGAGAATTCTGTTTACTATTTGTTTCACTTCACAATTTTGCATCATTTTGTCGGGATTTATCACATAAAATTCCAATTCAATACATTGAGGTATGCAGTTGCAACATGCAAAATGTGGAAAGGTTCAAGATGTATCATGAATTTTACAAGGTGCAGTATTTGCTGTGAAACCAAACTGGGAAATGGCTCCAGAAGCACTAGCGCCACAGTTCCCCACAGATCTGAATGCAAATGATTCTGCAATCTCTGTTCCTGCAAACACAAAATCTTTCATTTGGATGCTCCTCACAGCTGTGACTCAAAAACAGAATTATGTTTGAAATCCAAAAGAATATTTTACCCATGCAACCTGAAATCCAGTTTAAATGGTGATAATGTATGGCCTTTACAGCAAGAACTTGATTTATTCAGCAAATATCAGTATCTAATGCTCAACTCAGGAAGCATCTATGTTTTTACTGTTTCCTTATAAAATTTGCTTTCATCTGCTTTTGAAAGTAGGTCTACCTATTTAATAGTCAGACTTAGAGTAAGGTGTTTAAAAAGCTACATAAGACACAAAAGACGTGCAGAAAATCCTAACACATTTTACCCTGTGGAAGATCAAATGTTTTGTTTTAAGGGCTAATGCAGGTCTAATCGATGAGATGCTTGAGGCCCTTGTGTCAAGACAATTACAAAACGGATATTGATTCAATTTCAGCAAGACGTCTGCCTTTTATTGTAGTGCAAAAAGTCTCCAAAAGATGTCGCACTTGTGCAATTTATATCTTTATTAGAGTGAATTATCAAGAAAGCATGGTCCAGCAGTCTTGAAAAAGCAGCATGTGGTTGAGCACCGTTAAAGCCATTCAATTTAAGATCGAAATTGAAGTATAACTAGACAAAAAAAAAAACTAAAGAAATACAACATTTGAAAATAAAGTGAATATATGTATTTATGCAATAAAAATGTCATTAAAACAACTGTTCAAGTATTGAGCCTGATTAGATTTACTATGAAAAATATATGTAGGCCTATATATATTTTTTGGGCCGAAGCTTATGATGAGTGGCCCCTCCCGGTTCTCTTTTGGGTGATTAAAAATGTTAATTAGGCCAGTGAACCTCATAAGTAAACAAGGTGAAATGATTCTCTGTCTGCTGAAAGCAAACACCCAAAATACAATAGATAGGCAAAATTTAATTCAAGCTGAATATTGATTATAACTACCTTGAAAAAATCTTATATTTTTATAAATATGAAAAAGGCTTATTGTTCACGCACAGAGAGATGTTTATAATTATCAAAATGCCAACCCAAATACATGTTAGTATTTATTTATTTTTTATTTTTTTGCCAACCTATGAGCTCAAATGTTGATTCTGTAACAAGTCACTCAAATCCATTCTTTGTTCCTGCACATGTACAATGTGAGTCCACATAGCGGAGCGGCGGGGCGGTGGTACCGGTAGACTTGTTGTTCCCGTTGTCCGTACACACACTCCACCCACCCTGCGCTGATTGGATAGAAAAGTACCCCCGCTTCCATCACTGTGTTTCTTTTTCACCAGCACACTTGGTAGGGGAACGCCCATCTACAGGACCGGGAAAGTCACTTCAAACTGAAAAACACGCTGCATGGCACTCAGACCTTACAAGAGACGCTCGTGTGAGAGGAGATGCCTCGATCTGAAAACAACACTCTCGCGTAGCTAATAAGACACGTTGCGTCAGTTATCCATGACAGATATTGGCTTTTTAAATGCTCCGTATGTCATAATAATCTAAGCGGATTCATTTGTCTCGGAAACTGCTGAGCGCACTGGCTGGATGCGTTTGGGTGAACAGGTGGCGCAAGATCCAACACTCCTAATTTATCGGACGTTAAGCGTTTAATAGGATAGCCTACCTGTTTTTAAGGTGGGTGAGTAGAGTGCGAAGTTTTTCTCCCTCCTCAGACAAGGCAACAAAGATGCCCGTTTTGGACCAAGACAAGGGAACGGACAACAAGACGCATGATGGCGAGACCTCAGACAGCGATGAGAGTACCTTTTCGGGCTCGCTCGGCAGTCCTGACCCGGACGTCATCAATAACTTTTACCACACCAAGCGTGTCGGGACCTACCTGATCGGGAGGAAGCTGGGAGAAGGGTCTTTCGCAAAAGTTAGAGAAGGTCTCCACAGTCGTACGGGAGAAAAGGTAAGACATGGTTGTAGATAAAAATTACATCTCCCAAATTAATGTGCAATTTCTAAACTGTGTACCTCAAGGGTAACACGGCATTGCATGCATCTGGGTGTCAGATATAATGCTTTAAAAGAGCATTTTCTTGTTTTCAGCTTCTCTTGGCTTGTCAATATATATATATATATATATATATATATATATATATATATATATATATATATATATATATATATATATATATATGATACCACTGCCTCATATCATTTTGGGCAAATTGGGAGTCAAAGGGGCTTTCTTATGCTGTTGTATGTTGGTGGTATATGGGCATTTAAAAGGGTCAAATAATAAATAATATTACAGAAATAAATTTAGCAGATTAAATAATTATAGAAGACTATGTAATCAGAGGGGTTAACCCAGTGGTACGACTGCTCAGCTTAGTTAACCAGTTGTACCTCAGAGAAAGTGGTCAGCTCTGCTTGCAATGAGCACCCTTTGTTAATGAGCTCATGTTGCATCGCCAGCTGTCGAGGTGCAGTGCATGCACAGTACCGAAGCTCCACCGGCAATATTTGCCTTACGTGTTTGTGTGTGAGAGAAAGGCTCAAACGGGAATGGAAAGCACCTGCTTTCCTGAGGCGTTGGATGGCAACTTGTGCTTTGCTTTGTCTGCTGCTGCTGGTGATCTCACCTTCTGCATGCGCGTGTGGCTGTGATAGGGACTGAGAACAAAATTGTCTGGCCTATGAGGAAGCAAAGCTGCTGCTTGCATATGAAATGACCTCGTTGATAAATGGGCTGCAGAGCTCATTGGGATTCTGCAAACGCAGGGGTTTGAGATGGGCATCCATTGGCCAGTTGTTGCCTTTGTCTCGATCTCTTCAGATTTTTTTTTTTTTGGAAAACTGCCAGAAAAAATATTTGCATCTAAGAAAAACAAGCTCCTCCTCTCCTTTCTCCATGTTTCAACATGTAAAACCTGTTTGTGCGACTATACCCGTAGATAATATTAAATTGTTGAAAATGTATGTAATTATCTTGATCCCTGTTTACCGTTGGTGCTCGCTCTGTTGCTCAGAAGAGAAAAGGCGCCTCTCCTCTCCCCTTTTCCCCCTACTCTCTTTGTTTAGGATGATGCAAACAGTGGTAATCTCACAATCAGGCACAGCTCTTCATTGAATAAAGACATCCAATAGGAGCTGTTAGGGAGGGTGGGAGGGCAGGGCAGCAAGTTTGTTCAACCAAGGTTATGTCGGGCCAAAAGATATGCAGCAGGTCCTCCAGATTCCCCTTTTTAGCATCACTTGAAAGATGATATAGATGTAGAATGTAAAAGTGAAGAAAGGAAAACGATGGGGTCATCATGGTCAGGGAGGTAGGAGAGGTCACATGGGTGTGTTTTTGATATATGTAACCCACTTTCCCCTCTACATTCCCCCTGCAAAACCCCTCCTTCCTGTCTGAGGGGTGCCTGATAAACAACTGAGTCTCCCAAAAGCCCCCTGGCAGCATGCTCCCTTCCCCCTTGATATCCACCCCACCCTTTTCATATGCACTACTGTAAATACACAGCCCCAATCCTAACCTGGCACATACATTTCCCGCAAGTGTAAACATGGGCAATCTTTAACTGTCACGTGACGAACAAAAAGTTTCTTCTGCAAGCTAGGTTTAATTAGTAACTGTAAAAAGGTTCTTCAGAGGGGAATCAATTATCAGAGCATAAAAATGAGCTGAAGGGTGGTTGTAAAAATAAGCCAAAGGGCAGAAGAAAAGAGAGGACACTGTTGCACAGTGTCGCTAATGGATATGGTGATTTGTTCCACTTGTTATGCTGGTCCATGTCTGTAGACTCTCCTTGAGATGATTTGTAATGTATGGTAACCATGTTCTTGAACTCAGTCTAGACAGGACACAAGGAGAAGCACAGGCAGAGAATGAAATATTTTTATTGAATGCAATTATCCACAAGAGTCTGCCATTGAACAGAGGACGCATCGTTTGCCATTTATGAGGACATCTTCAAGGATTTCTTAACAGTAACTC